GCTGCAAACCTCGGAGAGAAAGCTGCCTTCCTGCTTCTCCCGTTTGAGTCTGGGTCCCTAGAGACTCGCCCGGATCTGGAGCTCAGAGTCTGAAACTCCCTCCCGATTGAAAACAACCACCGCGCCCTCCGCCGCCGGCCCGCTCCACATGCACTCCGCACCTTAGTATTTCACTTCAGCACTGCGCCTCCTCTGAGTCTCATATGGTTTCCTCTTTCCTCCTAGTTGTAGAACTTCCACTCAGCCAGCCTTCCTGTGGTTCTGGACGATGTCCGTTCCGTCTTTTAGTTGTATTTGTGAAGTGGTTGTTCGAGGCAGCAAACTCCGGCGTTAACCTATGCCGCTATCTTTGGATTCTCTCTGAATGTTGAACTTTTTAATGTTCTTATTGTTCGACGTTGGACCTGCTCCTAGCACCTGGTCCGTCAAGTCAGCCTTGAGGTTGGACCAAAAAGGGTTAAGGCTCTATTTACATGTATTCCAATTGTTTCAATCACTTTTCTGAACATTTCCCTGGTCTATCATTGTGAATTCTAGGAGTTTTAAACACTTTTGGACAGTTTTCTGAGCTCTATAAACATGAATTTTTAAGTTTTTAAACCACATTCTTCCAAAAAGGCCAACTCATTCGGCCAGAATTATGAATGTAAACACTATCCTAGTCATTTCACAGATCTTTGAATGCAAATTCTCAGTGTTTCAACACTGCCCTACAGATATTAAGGCTCTATTTACTTGTATTCCAAGTACTGCAAACACATTCCTAAATATTTCCCTAAGCTATCATTGTGAATTACAAGTGTTTTATACACTTTTGTCTTGTAATTCAAGCTCCTTGAGTGTGAATTCCAAGTGTTTAAGCCGTGTTTTTACATATATACCAGCTCTTTAAACATGAATTATTAGAATTTTAAACACTATCCTACCCATTTTAAGGCACTTTCAGCGCAAATTCTCAGGGTATCAACACTGCCCTACTGATATTAAGGTTCTATGATCATGTATTCCAGGTTTTTCAAACACATTCCTAAACATTTCCCTCGTCCATCATTGTGAATTCTGTTTTACACACGATCTTACAGTTTTCTGGGCTTTATAAACATGAATTTTTAAGTTTTTATACCACATTCTTCCAGAAAGGCCAACTCATTTTGCCAGAATTATGAAGGTAAACACTATCCTGGTCATTTCACAGATCTTTGATGCAAATTCTTAGTGTTTTAAACACTTTCAGACAGTTCTCTGAGCTTTTTAAACATGAATTTTTAAATTTTTAACCATATTCTTCCAAAAACGCTAACTCATTGAGCCAGAATTATGAATGTAAACACTATCCTAGTCCTTTCCCAGCTCTTTGAAAATGAATTCTCATTGTTTCAACACTGACCTACAGATATTAAAGCTCTATTTACTTGTATTCCAAGTACTGCAAACACATTCCTAAACAATTCCCTTGGCTATCATTGTGAATTACAAGTGTTTTATAGACTTTTGTCCCATTCTTCAAACTCCTTAAATGTGAACTCCAAGTGTTTAAATTGCGTTTATACATATATACCAGCTTTTAACGTGAATTATTAGTATTTTAAACACTGTCCTACTAATTTCACACATCCTCCGTGTTTCCTCACTGCCCTACAGATATTAAGGCTCTATTTACATGTATCCCAAGTGTTTCAAAAAGTTTCCTAAACATTTTCCATGTCTATCATTATGAAATCTAAGAGTTTTAAACACTTTCGGACAGTTTTCTGAGCTCTTTAAACATGAATTTTTAAGTTTTTAACCACATTCTTTCAAAGACGCCAACTCATTGAGCCTGAATTATGAATATAAACACTATCCTAGACATTTCACCCCTCTTTGAAGACAAATTCCCAATGTTTCAACACTGCCCTACAGATATTAAGGATCTATCTTCATGTATTCCAAGTGTTTCAAACACATTCTGAAACATTTCCCCGGTCCATTATTGTGAATTCTAAGAATTTTAAACACTTTCGGACATTTTTCTGAGCTCTGTAAACATGAATTCTTAAGTTTTTAAACCACTTTGTTCCGAAAACGCCAACTCATTCAGCTTGAGTTATGAACATAAACACTATCATAGTCATTTCACAGCTCTTTGAACGGAAATTCTCAGTGTTTCAACACTGCCCTACAGATATTAAAGCTCTATTTACATGTATTCCAAGCGTTGCAAACACATTCCTAACTATTTCCCTAAGCTATCATTGTGAATTACAAGTGTTTTATACACTTTTGTCCCGTTCTTCAAGCTCCTTAAATGTGAACTCCAAGTGTTTAAACCTCTTTTTTACATATATACCAGCTCTTTAAACGTTATTAGTATTTTAAACACTACCCTACTCCTTTCACATCTCTTTGATCGCACATTCTCAGTGTTTCAACACTACCCTACAAATATTAAGGTTCTAGGAACATGTATTCCAAGTGTTTCAAACACATTCCTAAACATTTCCCAAGTCCATCATTGTGAATTCTTTTCGGAAGGTGCTTGCTCTGCCCCAGGTTCCAGGACAGAACCTGAGGTCAGGGGTGTGCATGGCCCTGACCTTTCATCCCTCCCACCCATCACCACACACAGCAACCACAGCTGTTTTCCAAACAATTTTTTTTCTCCAAGTCTCCCCTAACCTTATGAGACAACTCCACTGCCCTTTTGTCGTGTGGGGTGGAGGGGAAGGGTCAAGCTGCAATCAGACACAGACTCGCCTGGCGCGTTGATCCTGGCCTTCCCACCTCCAGCTGGGGAGAAACACATCCCTGTTGCTGATCGGCCACCAAGTCTCTGGCGGCTGCAGCTGCCCGCACTGCCGGACACTCCTGCAGATAAGCCTCATGTGGGCGCACCTCTGGGCCAACAGCATGGCCGGACCCACCTCAGGCAAGATCCCCAGTCACAAGGACCTTAAAGCCCTGTGTGATGGTGTTAGGAAGTGGGGCCTCAGGCCATGAAGGTGGAGTCCGCATGAAGGGTCATCGCTGTCAGAGACCCAGCCCCTTCCTTCCTCCCTGCGAGGGTGAGCCTGGACCCCAGGCACTGGAGAGAGGCCCTCCCCTACCAGCTCGGCACCCTGATCTGACTTTTAGCCTCCAGAATGTGAAAAATAACTTGTTTAGAAGCCACCCAAAATACCAAAATGGTGTTTTGCTATAGCAGCCCAGATGGACTAAAATGTACAGGAAAAACTGGAATTTGAAATGAAAAAAAATTTTTTTGCAATAGCACCTCAAAAATTGAAGTCCTGACCCTAACCCTTTGACCCTGGATGCTACCCCTGACCCTGACCATAAACCCCCAACCTAAACCCTGGCCCTGGCCCTAGGCCCTGACCCAAACCAACCCTAAACCCTAAACCCTCACCCTTTGCTGCTGGTAAAATGTATAGCTACCAGTAGTACCCAATTTTCTTTCCGTATTTCAGGTCATGGAAAAATTGTGCCAAAAATCTAACCACAGACACTCTTCATGTCCCAGAATTAAGTAATAAAGTGTGAAAGAAAACACACTGTAAGAAAGAAAAAATATATATTTTTTAAGATTTGGGGGGGGGGGGGAATGTAGGCAAGAATATCTATCCCAGACAAGAAACAGAAGCAATGCTAAGAAAGCTAAAATGTCTTAACTGCCTTTATTGATATCTTGTATTTATTCAGGTATCTCAGCTTTTAAACCAGTTTCCAATTTCTTACATTAATCCCCTGAAAGCTCCAGACTGGCTAAAGCACTTTCATACACACAGTTGATTTTTACATTACACGCTTAATGTTATAAACTTGATCTCTGTTTAGTACATCTCTATGGCTCGCCTACTTCTAAGACAAAAGTCACATATAAAAATACAGACGACTCTACACAGAAGCCCACCTTGTCTAGAGAGTGGTTTCCGCACAGGCTTGCAGGCAGCACAGACCGCGTAGTCGCCAGCTACTCACACTACACCAGCAACGGGGCCCACAGGAGGCCCACTCGCAACTCTCCGTCATGTTTACAAGATAAACACCAAGCTAGTTCATATATATTACAGCATCATATTTTTTTAACCAAATTCTGGTTTAAAAATCACAACTGAGAACATGTAAAATAAAACTGTTAGGCAAGGTTTAACACACACATAAAAAAAACATGTGTTATGCATGGCCTTTTTTTTTTTTTAATCCTCACCTGATGACATTTTTTCCATTGATTTTAGAGAGTAAAAGGGAGGGAGGAGGGGCAGAGGAAGAAACATTAACACAAGAGACGCTGATTGGCTGCCTCCCACACGTAACACGACCAGGGCTGGGGAACCCACAACCGAGGCACACGCCTCTGTATTGCCTTTTATAAGGCAAACGTGGTTTAAAAGAAATGAAATCCATATACAATCATAGGGGAACGCATAATAGAACAGATTTCACAGATATCACATTTAATATCATGTCCAAAAATGTCCACGACTTGGAGGCCTCTGTGGATCGAGACCCTGTCGCACTGCAGTGTCAGCAGGAGCGCTCTGCCCTGCTCTCAGAGTGGCCGAGTCCCAGGCAGGACACTAAGCCGTGAAGTGCTTCTTCCCAACAGCTTCAATGCACAAGCCCAGGACACAGCAGTTTCCCAGCCAGGCATGCTCACAGCACCCTGTGACAGAAAGGATTCAGCTACTAAAAACAGCAAAAAGGTGAAAAAAAAATAACCAGGACTCAGTTAACTGGTTGAAACCAGAGACACTAAACCTCAGCAATACCCAAGATGTGAAGCAATAAAATTAACCCTCAATTCTGGGTGACTGACCAACATCAGCACTCTGTTTACTGGGCTTACTGTTAACATTTAATACTATTCTTTTGTTTGGGTAAAAAAAAAAAAAATTGGGAAAGAACCAGTGTTTTGGAATAAGCACTCTAACTTCAAAACATTCTGCCACCAGACCCACAGGACCCTTCCTTCCGGATCCAGAACCTGATTAGACAAAAGTTCCCACCACACAAGGCCCCGAGGTCGGTTCCCCGAGAGTGAAACTGCTCTAGTGTAATGGAGCTAGCAAAATACATATATTTGTTCTTAAGAAAAATTACAAAACTAACAAATCTTTTTTCTCCAGAATTACAAAAGATAAAATCTGAGTCAGTACTCTAATGTGATTACAGAGAAATACCAACGGAAGCTCAGAAAAGCGAAAAGTGCAGGCAGGCGGCCAGTCTGCCAGTCTCTGCCCCTCCCACAGCCCAAGGGCCTCCACCGGCTCTGAGGGCCACGCCCTCGGTCCCCAGAGGCCAACCCTAGCAAGAATCACCAAGATCCCCTTCGTCCGGGTAAAAGTTCCGTTGTTTATTACCTATATACGACATGCGCTTCATTCTTCAGGATATTCTCTCAGGGATTACTAGACATTGGATCTTTTATTTTTTGATTGATTGACTAATTGTAGAGAGGGGAAGGGAAAGAGAAACACTGATTTATTGTTGCTCCACTTTTTTAAGCATCCAGTGGCTGATTCTTGTATGTGCCCTGACAAGGGATCAAACCCTAAACCTTGGTGTATCTAGACGATGCTCCAACCAACTGAACTACCTGGCCACGGTGACATTATTCTAAAGGTAAGGAAAGGTGTCAGGAAAAAATTCCTTGGAATTCTTTTGGAACTCCTAAAAGATATCTGGCAGTTTGATACTTTTATTCCTCCTCCCCCAACACAATTTTTAAAAACCCACAAACTGACAACTCCCATAAGAGTTACTTCAATTACTTACAATAAGGGAGGGCTTGTCAAGAATGGAGAGCTAGGTTTAGTGAAAGTCAGGGCCACGAATTAAGAGGTTGATAACGTCAAGTTCAAATTTGGACAAAGGTGTGTCACACTCAGAAGTCCCCCACACTTACAAAGGTGTGCTTTCATGCTCCACACACAGCACGGCACGGGCCCCTTCGGTCTCACTGCTTGTGCAGACATGCCTCCCTGCACCTCCCACGAGCTGGGGGGAGCCCTTTCTCCAGGAGACTCTGTCCCTTTCAAGAAAACATTCTCCCATGCACTTACGTTTGTCAGATTATATTTAAAGAAATCTACCATTTAATGAAAATTCTACAAGATAATCAAGATCAAACTGGAAGAACCGTGCAGACAGGGCACACTCCGCTGGCCACAGCCTCAGCGCTGCCCACGTGCGCTCACTTGTCCCTGTAGTAGAGCAGGTAGTACTTCAGGGGGTCAGGCAGGGGCAGGCTCAGGACCTTCTCCCGCAGGAAGTTCACGGGGGGCTCTGGCTTCATCTCAGCCGGGTTCTGCTCCTCTTCTTCCCGCTGCTCCTCTCCTAAACCTTCACAGCTGTTGTCCTCAGACGGGTTGGAAATCCGACTGGCAAAGACCTCTTTGTCTAAGAAGACAATGGTTTCCATTCGACGGCGACGCACTCTCCTTCGCTTGAACCTGGGAGTGGCCTTCAGTCCGTCCCCATTTCTGCTCACTGCTTCCTGGTGAATGACCTTCTTAATGGCACCCCGGATGGCAATGCGAGCCAAGTCCTGGAGGCTCCGGACCGCCAGGGGGGCTGCAGCGCAAAGGACATGAGTCAGTGTCTGTGATGACAACACAGGCCTAACCACCTGGAAACTGCATGTGGACAAAGCAAAGAACATGAGCTCTTTTCAGGAAATACTTTAAACACCTAACTTGCACACAGACGAAGGAGGGCACCACCTGCTGGTGGAGACCCGCAGGAGAAAGCCCGGCTGCTCTGCGTCTTCCCCAGCCCAGCCGGGACGGCCCTCTGGCCCTCTGGTCCCTGTGTGTCTGCCCATGGGCTCTCTCATCCAGTGCCATCCAGCACTCGCCCACCTACTTTAATGTTTTCACTGTGATTTATAAACTGAATACTTTTCTGTTGTTGTTGTTAAAGTAGAGAAAAGTAGAACCACAACATTTTTAAGAACAAAAACTACAGCACAAGAAAAGGAAAACTTGGTCACTGAGGCTCTCTTCAATTCAGGCTCTGCGCACGAGGGGTCAAGTGCTTCAATACAGTAAATTCAAAACCAGCATCACTTTCCCCTCCAGTACCTGAGTTCTCCAAAAAATCGCCACCCACCTTCGGGGAGCCTCACAGAACCTCAGCAAATGCCCACAGAACCCAGGGATCCTGAAAGTTCCTGTGACCCCATTGTCAGCACCAACTCTCCTCTCTGCTCAACTGTCCTCTTCCTCCAGGAAGGGCGCTGGGGCTCACCCTGCCGCTAGCTGCTGCTCCTAAGGCAGTTGAAAGGAGTCCTTCACAGGCCACCAGACTTCCCACAGACAGCGCTGGCACGTGGGTCACGTGGGGAGGTAACCTGCTCGCGTGCTGGTGTCAGCCCGAACCTCTCCCTGGCTCCTCCTCCGCCCAGCCCGAATGCTGCTTCCCAAGGTTCTGACTTGACCCTTTCTCCTCTCTCCTGATCTGACATCTAGTCTGTGGCTTCAATTAAAAGAAACCGGCCAGCAGCTCCCAGGGCTATAACCCAGTCCTGATCACAAACCCGAACCTACAACTGTCTCTGGCATTCTTCCTCAGAGAGGCCCGTTGGCCTGCCCCAGCCCTTCCCTCTCAGGCCAGTGTTCACCATCCATCTTCATCTCTAGCCTGGGAAATCCCAATCGCCTCCTAAGTGGTTCCTGCCTGTGCTGTCCTTGGCCCATCCACTCTGACGGCTGACCCTGTCGGCACCTACAGGACCGCACTAGGCCCTATTTCCATCAGTGTGACTATTGGTCTACAAAGATCAAGTTATAAACAAGTGGACTGCTGTTCCCTTCATGAGCCCTAAACAGCATTACATGATTATTTATCATCCAATATTCACTTTGAAACACGGACTCAAAACCCACATATCAGGGTGCCCTCTACCTGTCAGCCAGGCCCGACCAAGCCTCCTCGACCCCCAACTGTCCCCTCACCTCCAACACACTGCCGTGGGCAGCATCGACTCAGTTACCCTCTGGGATTTTCACGGAACATGGACACGACTGCACCCCCCGCCTGGCAGAGGGTGGTCCTGAGTGAGACGCACCACCTCTTATCTGAACCCGCGGGAGCTCTGCACAGCCCATGTGATAAACTGCAGGCTAACCTGCATCCCATCAGGGTCCCCGCTTGCCTCCTCTAAGCACCTGGGGACGTGCACGTCACAGTCACGGCCTTGGATCCCTTCCTCCCTCTCTTCTCTCCGTAGGTAGCTCCTCTCAGCCTCAAGGACCAAGCACAAATACCCTCTCTCTCTACACACCTAGCCCTCTCAGTCCCTCTGCACATTCTATGGCTGCTCCTTACCCCAGTTCCTCACACTTCAACGACCATGTTGATGTCATGTGACCTGCACTTAGCAGAGACCAGGAAGAACATCACATTGGTAAGTGATTCCTCTCATACATTAAAGGATGATTCTGGAAGGAACTCACCAACAAGTATTAGTTATCTTTGGGTGTTGAAATTAAGGGTGATTTTTTTTCTTCCTATATATTATTTCATTTTCCAAATTTTCTAAATGATCAGAAAGCAGAGTGCATGCTGAATAGTTTTATTTTAAATAAAGACACTTGCAATCCTCCTTGCTGTGTAAATCTCTGTTGAAATTATAAAACATTTGGCTGAATGCTTAGCTCTTTGCTGGGTCTGCACCCTAACAGAGTGAGAGGCACAGGCCTGACCAAGGAAGGCTCCACTGCAAACCTGGCCCTGCCCACCCGAGCCGAGTGGCGGACACGTGGCCCTGCAGCCACCCGGGAGCAGAGGGACCAGTGTCTGCAGGAGCCCCACAGCCAGAGGTGCCGGGACACACTCTCCACAGAGCGGGTTTAATTCCCCTTCTATGTGGCTCTTCTGCTTCCCAGGGCATCACCATCAGCAGTTCTCTGTAGACATAAAACAAGGCTAAAATCACGTACAATAAGCTGGAAATGGAGTATAATTGTTTAAATGCCTAAAAATCACTTGGAAAAGTTTAAGGTTATAGTGAGTGGGAAATGCTCTTTAATATTAAAGGTTCCTTCTAATGAAATTCAAAACATCCAAATGATGGGCTAGGGTCTTTGTACTCACGTAACTGGACGAGTCTTGATTTCCCCGACTCTGAGCGGCGCGGCTGGACCAGAGGAGCAAAGGAAACAGCCAGGATCTTTTTGGTTTCCCAAGCAGAAGGTCCTGTGCGCGTTATCTTAGTCAACTATCCCGGAGACAAAACAAGATTTAACTCCTGGTAGGTTAGAATAAATATAATCATTCCTACACACCATCTAAAACCACACAGATACACGAATCATGAAACACCTGAGGGCGATGTGACATGAACGGCGGATACATTTAGTCTGAACACAGCCAAGCGTCTCACCCTAACTCCTGTTGACAGGAAATGTCTATGACAGAGGAAGAAGTTAAAGGACAACAAGAGGACACAGTCCAGTAAGAGTGTGGGGTTCTGATGAGACCACTTTCAATGCTGGGGGACGTGGGGGCTCTGAAGTGACAGTCATCAGACACACACAGTCTACACCGCACTCTGGCCGGCAGATCTCCTACAGCAAGTGGGGACTCACGCCCAAAAGCTGCAATCACAGAGCACAGCTCCTTGCTGGGAGTCTAGTCTTCCTGTCCCCTTGGGAGATGCGCACTGAAGTGTCCAAGGAGCTTCCCAGTGATGCTGCCCAGGACCCCGGAGTCAGTGGCTAACTGTGTGCAGGTCTCAACACATTTTCCTGTGAATCACAATTCCAGGGGCAGCAGAACCGATTAGACAACACACCATCCTGTGTTCTGTGGGCCTGTTCTGCCACCACACACACCTGGGTCACAGGACTATTTCTGATCAGCTCTGTCCTGCTAAGATTATATACTCTCTAATCTAAAAATATCTAAACCAGCAAACCATCTAAAAACTAAGATTCTATGCCACAAATCTTAGAAATAAAAGAATTCAGTAGCCATGTACTCGATGAACATCAACAAGTTACTTGCATTCTTGTATACTAGCAAAGACATTCCTTTTTTTAAAAAAAATGTTTATTAAATTGATTGGGGTGACATTGGTCAACATGAACATATAGGTTTCAGGTGTGGGTTTCTATGATACAAGATCTGTATTGCACTTGTGTGCCCACCACCCAAAGGAAGACATTCTTAAAAGGAGAATTTCTAGTTATAATGAACATCAAATATTTAAATGTAATAAAAAAATGTGTGAGCCCTTAAAACTATAAATGCCTATTTCATGCTCTGTATGAGCAGAATATTAAAAATATGTCTCTAACCCTCAAATTAATCCAGCTGTAGCACAATTCTAATCAAAGGTCCTATATATTTCTACAAAACCATGAAGAGTCCTACAGTCATCTGTAAGGAAGGACCCACTCTGCATTCTGAGAATAAAGAGCAGAGACGAGGCCTGGTCCTGTCACCTGTGAAAACAGCAGGATCAACCCGGCAGGACGGCCTACTTGGCACGTCTCCAGTGGAATAAAATGGCAAAAAGCACACACCCCAAAAATCTTGAACTAGTTATAGACATCAGATTGTTGGTGATCATGGTGATGCCACATGTTGTGGATAAACATCACACTGGGCGGATGGGGACAGGCGTTCTGCCTGAGAGACAGGTGACACTGACACCACTGGCAGAGGGCCGACACCCACCACCATCTCCTGGAGGAAAGGACAGGAAGAAGAACAAGGGAAAGAGCCCCACAGAGACATGCAACCCCACAGTCCAGGCTGCAGGGGGCTCTGTCAGACAAATGGTCTAAATGCTTCAAAACTAAATGGCAAAGAAAAAGAAAGAATCTAAGGATGAATGCACTTAGGAGATACTCCGACCAGATTCAACACATAAATCTTACATGGACCTGCATTCACATAAACAACTCAAACTAACTTTGAGACAATCGGGAAAAATGGAACGCTAGCTGACATTTGAAGATATTAAGAAATTACTATTGCCCAGCAGGTGTGCTCAGTGACTGAGCGTTGACCCATGAACCCGGAGGTCACAGTTCAATTCCCTGTCAGGCCACATGCCCAGGTTGTGGGCTTGACTCTCCCTGGGAGAGGAGAGGGTGTGCGGGAAGTAGCCCATCAATGATTCTTTCTATTAATAATGTTTCTATCCCTCTCACCCTCTCCCTGCCTCTCTCTGAAATCAATAAAAACATATTTTAAAAAAAGAAATTACTATTTTTTTTTAAATATATTTTATTGATTTTTTACAGAGAGGAAGGGAGAGAGATAGAGAGTTAGAAACATCGATGAGAGAGAAACACCGACCAGCTACCTCCTGCACATCTCCTATTGGGGATGTGCCCGCAACCCAGGTACATGCCCCCGACCGGAATCGAACCTGGGACCTTTCAGTCCGCAGGCCGACGCTCTATCCACTGAGCCAAACCGGTTTCGGCAGAAATTACTATTTTTTAGGTTGATGATGGTTTTAGGACTATGTTCGAAAAACAGAACCCTTATCTTACCCAGATATATACTGAAATATTTATGAGTAATTGTTTTTTAATTTGGGTAACTCACTGAGTCTTTATGTAACAGTAAATAACAGTGAGTCACAACACACAACCTCATGTCCAATCACAGTAACTGGATCATAAACTAGGCCCACACACCAGTGGCTGCCAGGCAAGGACTAAAAATGATGGTGTGAGCACTGACTGATTTGAAACTATATTCACGAACTCTTTTAAGTAACCCAGTGTAACTTCTCAAACATGTGCTGTCGCCTTTGTAAAAAGGACATCAAACTAGAAACAGGTACAAGGACCACACTCAGCCAACAGGAAGGAAATTGTGAGCAGTTGTCCCTGGTGTTCCTTCATTTCCTAAAATGAATGATTACTTATCAAACAAAATGAGTTAAATGCAAACATTTAACAATTACAGAAAAATTTTTTAAAAATGCACAATCTCATAATTTTTATCATTCTGTTTTTCCTAGTTCTTTGTGACAATGAATCATCCTTCCCAATGACCAATGCATGTCTATTTTTCCCACTGAAACACAGTACTGAAAACACTAAAACATGCATGACCAAACAGCAGACTTGGGCAAGATGCCCACCAAGCAAGGGATTCCTGTGAACTATCACCATCACAGTGTCTCACAATGAGACTACCAGCTGGAATAGACTACTCTTTTATATAAGTAATTACAGTAACAGAACAAGCACCACAGCACAGCTGGGGGTGGGAGTGCACAGGGAGGCTCAGAGATGCTTCTTCAACCCAAGACCTGTCCTTGCCTGCTATCTCATTTGTGACCATGGAGTTGTTACAAGGAAGAATATGTGTCAACTACCTGCAACAGACCTTGCCAAACAGTTACGTGTGCAAAGATGTCAGTTAGGAAGGGGTCTGACCTTCTCTTCCAGCGGCATGACCAGGATGCCCCCCACCTTGAGAAGACTCTTCATGTAGTCCTCGTGCTCCTTCTGCACGCCTGCCCCGCAGTACACCCGGTCATACTGAGAGCAGTCGGGAGAAAGCTCCAGGCAATTGCCAGGAACAAAGGAAGGTTCACAGAAGTCAAACCTGAAAGGAAGAAGTGTGTTCATTCCACACCTCCGTAACTTGTAACAGGGCTATAATAAATCTATGCCAACCACAGGTTAGACTTTCATTTCAGAACCTACACCATGTGACGCAGCTTACTGAGCTGGCATGGAAGCCAGACTTCAAAAAGAATTGTGCTATTAATAACTAAACCCTAGAAATTCCAAATAAAGTATCATGAAAGTGAACATTATAAGCATGATCCAAGCTTAAATCATCCAACCTCCAATCATCACTATCTTTGCCCTGCATTTATAATTATTTTATTCAAAGTCACTACACAACAGAAATGAGGGTAAGTAAAATACATTTGGTTTTTCTAAAAATTTTAATACCTAAAATAAGAATATTCATGCCTTGTTTAAAAATGGCAAGAACTAGTTACAAATACTATTCACTGTTTTAGAAACCATCAGTGATAAAACACCTCTATAAGAAACATGAAAACTGAGCAAAGTGAACATTCTATTTCTCTCTCTTATTGGTGAAAAACTACCTTTACCTAGGTAGCACAGTGAACAAATCTAAAGCCCTTAAAACCCCAATATATATGTTTTAAAACTTTATTATTTATTTTCAGAGATAAACATCGATTTGTTGTTCCACTTATTTATGCATTCATTGCTTGACTCTTGTCTGTGCCTTCACCAGAGATCGAGCCTGCCACCTGTAACCCTGGCATATCGGGAAGATGCTCTAACCAACTACCAACTGAGCTACCCGGCCAGGGTGAGAGAGAGAGAGAGAGAGAGAGAGAGAGAGGGAGAGAGATAGAGATATTAAGATTTTTTTTTTTTTAGAGAGAGAGGAAGGAAGAGAGAGAAACATCAATGTGAGAGTGGAACATCCATTGGCTGCTTCCTGCACGCCCTCCACCAGGGATGGAGCCCACAACCCCAGCACCTGTGCCCTGACTAGGAATCGAACCAGCAACCCTGTAGTGCGCAGGACGGCCCAATCAACTGAGCCAATCCAGCCAGAGCCCCAATATACTTTTAAACAATTAGACCACACATCCTGGTCCCCTGCCACACCACAGCCATGCCTGCTGGTCCAAGAACACTGGGGATGGATTTCCCCCCGTCTCATCAAGTTTACCTTACAACCCAGACCCTGACCGAGGGACAGGACTTGACCTTACTTGTCAAAGCTGTCGCTGGTCCTGATGAAGAAGTCTAGTTTCTGCTTTGCGTACTCAATCACGTCTGGATGAAGCTCCACACCATGGTTTACCCCAAAAGGACCTGCAAGGGTTCAGAGCCAGAAAACTTTCAGAACTGGAGCGACAACTCTTACTCTGCATTTCTCCTGACTTTGTGTGAGCAATTACAGAAATTCACAAGGTTTTCTAATCTTAACACATCACCTCGAGCTAATCTTTACATGCAAGGCAGGCTCTGCTCACATCACACTCACTCACTTGTGGTTACTGACTCCATAGCTTTCCAAAGCCTGAACCTCCCTGCTCTCCAACTTCCAAAGAATTATTTAAAAATGTAAAAAAGCCAAGGTCTGAAACCAATAGTTCAAGGTCTTGCCAATAACTGAAGAAACATGTTTGCACATTGATACAGGACTGTTTTCCACAGAAGGTCCCACAAGACACTCAGAGGTGGGCACTAATAATCCTCACAAAACAGGTTTTAATCATCATTGAAGAAACTGCCATTCCAAGTCACAGTGAAACATTCTTTCTATCAGAGGGAACCGCGACAGACATCACGCCGTTCCTGCTGTCAGTGCTCCCTGCGTGGGAACCTTCCTCCAGGTGACATCTGGGTGACAACGATCAACACAAACAGCTGAGGTGAGTCTGTGTGGGAATCTGTTTCCATGCAGGTCAGAAACAGGCAGCACCATCTGTGCTGATGGAGGGCACAGTGCTCCTCTCTGGAGGGTGTGGGTCCTGTGGGCGCCTCTAGGTGTGCTTGCAAGGAAGTGGAGGCACATGTGCCAATTCTCCAGGCTCCACACTGCACGCTCTCCTTTCCTCCTCCCGACACCCCATGTGGATTCTCTCACAACTGACATCTTTCTTCTCCAGAGTCACTGTCAACCTCCGGACGGGACAGAGTGGCCTCCTCCATCCTGTGAGGCTGCCCAGGACCTGCTCCCTGCTCTGCGTTGATACATTTTATTTTTCCAGAAAAGCTTCTGCCCATGATAGTTGTTAAGATGCCTTCCCCCCCCCCCCCTTCATTTTACACAAGATAGGAATTAAATGAATCCTCAGTTATCGGATATGTTACTAAATGGCTTCAAGTAAGTTAACTTGTGAAATCCCTCTCATCCTGGAATTTATCTAAAAATAACATTACAGGCATTAATTCTTCCAGTGTTCAAATCACAAAACAAACAAAAACTGTTTGAGAGAACTTTGAATCCCAGGGGACTTTGAAGTTAATTACTCTGTTTAGAGCAAGTGGCAGGGCATGCTGGGTGAGTTCGAGTCAGGAAACCAGGGAAGATCCAGACTGACGCCACTGTCCAGGGCAGGGGTGGGCAAACGTTTTGACTCGAGGGCCACAATGGGTTCTAAAACTGGACCGGAGGGCCGGAACAAAAGCATGGATGGAGTGTTTGTGTGAACTAATATAAATTCAAAGTAAACATCATTACATAAAAGGGTACGGTCTTTTTTTTTTTAGTTTTATTCATTTCAAACGGGCCGGATCCGTCCCGCGGGCCGTAGTTTGCCCACGGCTGGTCCAGGGGCTCCACTGCTGGGGAGGAGGGTGTGCTGACCCCTGCTGGAGGCACAAGTAGCAGGGGACAGGGACCGGGAGCCAGCCCACCAGCCCACCCAGTGACTATTGGTAAATGATACCAGATAACACTGGGAAGGCCACGGGCAATTAGACAGACCCCTTCAAAGGACACTGCCAGCAGCTCTTTGGTCCTGCAAACTCCCCCAATTACCTAAAATGAGCCCCACCATGGAGCTGAGGTAGCCGGTGCCACTGCCCAGGTTCAGGAACGAGAGCCCCGGCTGCAGGTCCAGGGCTTCCATCACCTCTGAGTAGATGCACGGAGCCGACAGGTGGATGTTTCCATGCTTCCATGCCAAGTCTTTATAAGCATTTTCTTTAAACTCTTCAAGATAATAATCTGCGCGGTCAATCGCTCTGAAAGCCTGCTCCACCAGTTCGGTCCGGATGTACTGTGCTTCCTTCAAATTGTCTATCAGCTCATCATTGTCCTCACCAGCACTCACCGCACCTCCCATCTTTGAGATCACACTCGGGCAACACTGCAATGAAAAATTTTTAAAGAGCCATTTACATTAAAGGTAAGAGCAGAACAATGAAAGTACTAAACACATACCAATTTCAAATTCTGAATTCTGAAATACAGATGGAATATATTTTGTCTACCCCTGCCTGCCCCATAGCAAGGATGCCAGCTTCAGAAGGAAATAAACTCAGTGGTACCCATCCAGAAGGAAGTCTATAACTTATAGTATCAACTGAATTAAATCTTTTTAATTTGAACTTGAGATACCTATGACATGTTTAACTTTAAACCTTAATTAAACTGTGAATCCCATACTGTACTTTCATCAACAATCCACAAAGTCAAAATTTTAGGATTAATTCTATCTTGAATACAGATCTGCCTTAAAGGAATATACCCACCCATGGCAAAATCACTGAATGTAATACCACAGGAGGGCAGACAGTCTAAAAACTCATTCTAATAGCAACTGTTCTTTGAATATTTCAAGTGCTGCAGATCTTTTTTTGTAAACCTTTAATGCAAAAAAAAAAAAAGGCACTTAAATTCAGGTAAACAACAAGTACTAAAACTTATTGGTCATTTGAAATCCTACTGTGCATGGTGTCCTACATGCTATCAGGCAACTCTGCACCCCTCACACACACACAGATACCCCATCCGTACACAGTTCAGTTGAAAACATCCACAAAATTCTCTTCCCCAACAGAACACATTGTAACAAACACAAAATCTAGTTTCCAGGTAGGAGGAGCTGCCACTCCAACCCCTGCTCTGAAGTCTAGCTCTGCCTTCCTTCAGCTCTTTCACAGTATAAGCTACATCTTCCCACCCGCCCTCAAGGAAACCAAGAAAGCATGGCCGGCTGCTCAGTGGTTAGAGCATTGGCCTGAGGACTGAAGGGTTCGGGTTCGATTCTGGTCAAGAGAGCACATACCTTCCGTTGCAGGCTTGATCACTCGCCCTGGCTGGGATGTGTGGGAGGCAACCAATGGATGTGTCTCTCTCACACTGAGGTTTCTCTCTCCCTCCCTCTCTTCTACTCTCTCTAAAAATCAAGGGGAAAACATCCTTGGGTGAGGACTAACAACAACAAGAATACCAAGTAACACCCTCTGGCTCAACTAATAGCCGAATGTGCCTTCATCGAATCACTAGGGAAAAGGCTCTGGAAGGTCTTACTCTTCAAAAAGCTAAAAAAGATATCTTTTCAAATTTTATACTTCGTCCATGTAACTTTTTCCGAATCAGGCCAACTCCTATAACAACATATTATAATTTCGTTATTACAAAATGTATACTTGCTTTGCCCTCACAATCCTCTGGCTTTCTAACAGAAAGAGAATCCTAAGGAGAGACTGGGCGGAGAGATTCCACACCCACTTCCACTCACACAAAGGAAGCGGTGATGGGAGAGGGTCACCCAGGAAAGAAAATACACCAGCACATGGACGAATCGCCATCTTCTGACAAGAACACAAACGTGTGAGAGCCTGGGCTCGATACACACGCTTCCATGTCACCGCCGGGACGGCTCCTCTCCTTCATTGGGGTTCAGAGCTGAAGAGGAGGCTGTACACAGCGCTGGGGCCAGTGTTTCCCTCCACCCCGCTCTGCTTCAGAGCCCTGGTGAAGTGTGGGTCCATGGCCAGTTTGTGGGATACTGTGCTAATGAGGTCGAATTTAATCTTAGATAAGCCACTTAGTTTTGAGGTTCAAGTCTACACCCCTAGTCTAGGACAATCATCTTAAAATGTGGGTCACTGGTTAAGTGGAGCTGTGTGTGGCTGCTTCAGGGTTTAGGTAAAAGCCTAGAACCACACACACCCCACCATGGGTCTGAGCCTACCCATGATGTCGACACCATCATTCCATCCCACAAGGCAAACACAGACTATTTATCGGTAGGTTTTATTTTGTACTAAGTACTATCACTTATCTCCAACTTTGCCTCACTGAGAATTTATTCCATATGCTAAAGCTACTTTTTTTATTTGGTTGGTTGGTTAATCCTCACCCAAGGAAATTTTCCCCATTACTTTTTTTGGGGGGAGAGGGGGGGATGAAAAAGAGAAACATCAATGTCGCATGCACCCCGACCAGGGCCAGGGACCAGGCATTGAAGCCGAGACCCCCTCGGTGCTCTGGCCGACACTCTAACCATTGAGCACACCAGCCAGGGCGCAAAAGTTAGTTTTTTAGTAAATACAGCTTCAACCTGCTGCATTTACTCAGGCACCACCTGCCAGTCACGACCTCATTTTGGCTTCACAACTTGTAAGAGGCTTGGAATTCAAACCCAAGACTGTCTGGTCAAAAGCCTGTTTTTTACCCACAACAAATGCAGCTTTTAATAATTCTCAAAGGGGCAACATCCTTTAATACATAACATGTGGGGAATCTTTGTCCAAAATGACAGACTAAGTAACTCTGGGGTAACCCTACCCCCTGCCACTGGTGAGATGCATGCGCCCATCTGCAGGGTCTGAATATTGATTAACTTTCCAGGAACCTAAGGCTCCCTTCCCACTGGACACCATCACGGCTTATTGCTGACCCCGATGCGATCAGTCATCAAGCCTCCAAACCTGGATCTCCCGTCCGTTCATTCAAACCCGACTCGTCAGAGGGACGCTGTCCTTTCTCGGACGCCGCGCTGGATGGTCCTTCGCAGCCCCCGGCCTAACGCACCTCCCTCTCGGGCCGCTCCCCCAACCCGCGCGGCAGGGGCTCTCCTGATGGATGCGCGGGGCGCAGGCATGAAGCCGCGAACGTGGGGCCACCGTCCATCCTCGTGTTTGTCGACTCTACGTGGGGGCCATGTCCCACCGTGAACATCACTCAGGAAAAATGTGGGCAACGTCATCCCGGCGGACCAGGAGCGGGGAAGGGCCCGCCCGCACCTACTGCCCGAGGAACGGAAGCAGCGGCGACGGCTGCAGAGCGCGCGCTC